AAGGGATGCCAAGGGAGTGGCTAATTTTCCATGTTGACAGGAATGATTGGAATTGTAGAGAGGTGTAAGCTGGCCCATTATCAGTTTTTAGGGTCCATGGCACTCCCTTTACCAGCATTGCTGATTTGACTGCCTTAATGGCGTGTGAGGCCTTTTCACTGGTTTGAGCGATGGCGAAAAGAAAGGAGGAGTAGGTGTCAATAATGACATGGACATACTTAAGATTACCAAAGGAGTTGTAATGGGTGACATCCATTTGCCAGAGGGTATTGGGTAGGAGACCACGTGGGTTAACTCCATATCAATTGAGGGGGCCTAAAGGAGCAAGGGGGTGCATATGTTATGCAAGACCTGCTGAGATGTTTGGATTGAGAGATGGGTAGGTCGGGTAGAAGGCAGTGCAGACTGTGAGGAGAAAGGTGAAATAGTTGGTGTAAGGCCCTGCTTGTTCTAGTAGGGGAATCTCTACAGACATAATAAGTTTATCTACTTTGTCATTTCCCTTTGCCAAGATCCCGGGGAGCTTGGTGTGTGATCTTATGTGGGAGATGTGCCAGGGCCATTGTCTGTTATCTAAGGTAATCTGGAGAGCTCTCATGGTTCTAGTGATGGGATCCTTGTGGCCTTTTATCTGAGCAAAGGGAAGACATCTGAGGGCCTGAACCACATACTGGCTGTCAGAGAATATATTGAGCGGCTCAGTCTGGCAGACTTGGAAGATTTTTAACAAGGCCAGGAGCTCCCCCAACTGGACAGAGCCTGGATTGGCTTGTATGTAACAGGTGTCATCCTTTCCCATGCGCTGAATGATGACGCCATAATGGGACTTATTGGCATCTGAGAAGGCTAGCATGGCTAAAGGTAAGGGGTTTTTGAAGGGCGAAGTGTGTGGCTGAGTGGTGATTTCCAAACAGGCCAGGCTGGCCAGTCACTTATCTGGGAGTGCGTGGTTATCCAACTCCCCCGTGAACCCAGACATCATTAGTTGGAAAGCCAGAGAGTCTGCCCATAATGTTTGGGAATGCTTAAGAGGAAAGGGCAGTATAATTTTGTCAGGTTCCTTCCCAAATATGCCCCTGGCTGTTTGTTGGGCCTTAATTGCTAACTTGAAGGCAATATTATACTTAGAGCTAAGTCTAGTTAGGTCCGAGGTAGCCAGGTGGATCCACACCAGGGGATCTTGTTGCCATAGCACCCCCAAGACACCATTTTTAGTCCAGAGGATCAAGGCCAGTAATGGTTCTGCTGGGTCATGACGTCAGAGTGATGCAGATCAGAGTATATGATCTATCTTATTAAGAAGATCCTTAGCTGGCTGGGTGTGAGGGATCCTTGAAGTTGGTGAATTATGGCCTTCCAGCAGAGAGAACAAGGCCCAGAATTCCAAGTCAGGGACCGGTATGAATTGCTTGAGCCAATTTATAGTCCCACAGAGTTCTTGGAACTCAGTCAAGGTATATATAGTTTTTTGTAAGATGGAAGGGTTAAGTGGTTTAATTACTGTATCTATATGGTAGCCAAGGAATGTGAAAGGTTGGATGTATTGTAACTTGTCTTGTGCAATGTGGAGACCTAGACATTCCAAATTGGCAAGCAGACTGGATATTGCAGCCTGTAAAGTATTGTGAGATTTGTGTGCTAGCAGTATGTCATCCAAATAGTGGATGACAATTAGGTCCTTGGGGATGTTGGTTAAGGCCTTATTAACATATAATTGACAGATCGTGGGGCTATTTTTCATACCCTGTGGTAGTACCTTCCGTTGGTATCTCTTGGCTGTTCTCTGAAAGTTGGGCTCCCAAACCGTGAAGGCAAAGTGAGGTTTATCTTGTTCCACTAGAGGGATTTGGAAGAAATAATCCTGGATATCAAGTACTACGATATGATGGGATGGGGAGATGGCTGTAGGGTGTGGTAAGCGGGCTTGTAGCGAGCCCATTTTTTCCATCTGGGCACTGACTGCACTAAGATCCTGGAGAAGTCTGTATTTCCCTGATTTCTTTTTAATAACAAATATCGTGGTATTATGTTTACTGAGAGAGGGCTCAATGTGGCCAAGCCTCAGTTGTTCAGCTACCAAATTTTTGAGGGCAGATAATTTAGGTTCTATTATAGGCCACTGGTCCACCCAAATGGCATCATTAGAGAGCCAGGTGATAGGGATCGGCTCAGGGGCCAAGATTGGAGTCAATCCAGGGTGAGCAGTGGCCGTTAGGATTGGGGGTGTTGGGCAAGGTGTCCTTTCCCTGATAGTCCCAAGTTATCATGGAGCATGATATCATCATAAAAGGTGTGGTCATCTGTGCCCAACCCTCTAGAACATCATCCGCGCCCATGTCCTCTAAGACGTCTCAGCCCCATAAGTTACGGGGAACATCCACTACTATGGGGGTAACTCTGCCCTGGTCCTTCCAATATACTGGATGTGCGACCAGCTTGGTATCTTGTTTGCCGCCAACTCCTTTTATTGGTGGGCCTGGCCGGTATTTCCAATGAGGGAATTTAAGGGATTCAGTTTCTGATATAATGGTGACAGCCCCTGTGTCTACTAGGCCCTTTATGACAGTTCCATCTAGGAACAGGGTCATTAGTGGGGAGTGGTTGAGGATTGGGAGAGTCCATAATATCTGTCTCGTTTCCCCTTTTGTGGGCGGAGTTGAGGGGCGCCCCAGGTGGATTTTAAATGAGCCAAGTCAGGTTGAGGCTGTGACTACAGTCTTTAGCCCAATGGAACCCTTTTTTGCACTTGGGGCAGCGAGTCTTGGGGCGGGCTGTACCTCTTGGGCAGTGGCTACGAAAGTGGCCAAGCCCCCCACAGTTCCAGCCCCGACATTAAAGGTGTATCGGATCCAAATATCTTGTGCTCAGTGAGGGACTCTGGAGGCCGTGACACCTCTAGCCATATGCTCACATGATGTCTCCGGGACAGGCAACAGGGTGACCCCGAAGCCTGGGCTCTGAGTTCAGGGTGGATCAGCCCTTATGTCAACTCACCGGGATGAGCCAAGAGGTGAGAGGTGCCGACGTGGGCTTCGGGACCACGTGGTGGAGTGTGCCTCCCTGATCTAACAAACTAGTCCAACAATAAAGATGACAGACAGGGTGGAGGGGACAGAGGAGGGGCCTACTCACTCACCCTCGAGCAACCGAAGAAACAGACAAATCCAGGGGTCTACTTACTGAATGAACCAAGGTTCTGGGTGTTGCCAACACTGTGGGCAGGGGTCCCTGTTCGGGCGCCAGGTGTTGCGAGTCCTCCTTAGGCCAGCTGTGAAGGCTGGTCCCCTGCTGATTGGGGGGGGCAAGAGGCGCGAAGTCAACACACAGACACTGGGAGCCAGGTAGAAGCAAGCACTAGGCAAGGTGCTGCAGGCTCATTTAATGCAGGAGGGGGCAGGCCTTATATTTCCCTTTTCTCTGTCCCCAAGTCCCTTTAGTCAGCATATCGTTTTCTGATTGGTCCGCGCCATGCAGTCTGTCAGCAATCACTGGGCTCATGAGCAGGGTACGGAGGCGTGAACTCCTTTTGGCATGCTATTTGCAGACCAAGAAGAGAAGTGAATTCTTGCTGAATCCCAGGGCTCTGGGTCCGGCCATCTTTGGAGGCCTCCTGCTACGGGGGGCGGGGGGTGTCTTTTTTATTTTGTTTTCTTTTTGTCTTTGTTTTGAGATATCTCACCAGGTAGCCCTGGCTGGCTATCCTGGAACTCAACAGAGATCCCCCTACTTTTGCCTCCCAAATGCTGTGATTAAAAGCATACCAGCCCGTGACTTGTTTTGTTTTAATGATAAATGACAGAATGTATAAATTTCTACCTCTTAAGAGCTTAGGAAAACTAAAAGTCAGAGATAAAGGCTTTTGCCAACTTTCTGTTTTAGGACTTGCTATTCTTGAGGCATAAATTTTCATTTTGTTTTTCTAAATATTTTTTGATTCAATTATTTTATGTGTATGAATGTTTTGCCTGCTTGTATGTAAATGCACCTGTGTCATGCAGTGTCCTTGAAGGCTGGAAGAGGGCATTGAAGTTCTGGAACTGGAGTTGTTGACAGTTATTAGCTGCCATGTGGGTACTGGAACCAAACCTGGGTCCTCTGTAAGAGCAACCAGAGCTCTTAGCCACTGAGTCATCTCTCTAGCCCTATGAACTTTCATTTTTCTTTTTATGTTAATTTAGAATCAAACTGTGGGAATTTGGGGGCCAGATATTTATAAGAATTCCTGAACTTTGTGGAAGTTCTGTTAGAATGTGGTAGTATTTGTTGATTTGTGTTACTACCATTGAGAAGACAAAATCTGAAAAAGATAAAATCATTCTCAATTCATATAAGCCACAATGGAAACTACACAGTGATGGATGAGTATGAAATAATTGGTTTTAATTTTTATTTTTTGATTGATTTATTTTTGTTTTATGTGTGTGCTTTGCCTGCTTGTAAGTAAGTGTACCATGGATGTGCATTGCCTGTAGAGGTCAGAAGAGGCCATTGAATCCTCTGGAACTGTAGTTATGGATGGTTGTTAGCCATGACGTGGGTGCTAGGAACTGAACCTAGGTCCTCTGAAAGAGCAACCAGTGCTTTTAACCACTGAGCCATCTCTCCAGCCCAATAATTGTATATTTATATTATATAGTAAAAAGAAAACAATTAGAAATTGTTGGGTGTGAATTTTTGTCCCTTTGAGATTTATAACCTTTAGGAGAGCAAATTGCTTAAATGTCTTTGTCCTTTATCTACTTTCCTATTTTTATATATTTAAGGTTAAGGACCTAAAAGTGATAAAATTGCTACCCATCCTTAAATGATCTTAAAGAATATTTTATTATTATTTTTATTTTATGTTTATGAGTATATTGCCTTTATGTATGTAAGTGCACTTGCGTCATGCTCTTAATTGCTGAGCCATCTCTCCAGCTCCAATTCTGTGATTTTTTAAAAATCATTTCTGAATGTTTTATAAATATTATGCTCAACTGAATGTCTTTCTTCTCCATCAGGGTGTCTTACTACTACAGGCACTAACAAGAAGCAACGGAGCAATCCAGAAAATTGTTGCTTTTGAAAATGCTTTTGAGAGACTACTGGACATTATTACAGAGGAGGGGAACAGTGATGGAGGTATAGTGTGAAGAGTCTGTGTGAAGAGATTCCTTTGAATTCACTCACCCTGCTGAGTGTGCACTATGATTTTATACTAGTGCATTAACTTGATTACATGATTTCTTCCTTCCCAGCCATATCAACTGCTCAGAAGCAAATGTAGGTATAAAAAATCAGTTTCTCACAGATTTCAGCCTTTTCCTGGGAGGGGTTATGGAAATCAGTGAGACTAGAAAGCTTAGCCTATTATCTATTGAATAGAAGAATGAACGTCTGTCAAAATCTAAGCTAGAGAAGAAAGGAAGATCAGAAAGGGGTTTCTATTTGTGCTGTGGGTAAGCTCTGTCAGAAACATAGAAAAACATGGTTCTGTCTTTCTATAGTGTCCGAATTTATTGAGTAACAAATTCCCAAGGTGTCTGCTGGTTTTAGTGACAGCAGCTTGCCAGATACCTGCTTTCCACAATAACCCTGGCCAAAGCAAACATGAGTTCTTTTATTCCAGTCTTAAAATATTGACTCTTAGATTATATGTTACACGTGGTATAGTAAATACAGCTATGTTTGTAGGCTACAGAGTGACTCCAAAAGGTTAAAAGGCAGTAGCAGCATTCAGGAGATTTCATAAGTCCTGAGAAGCCTGGAAACTAATAGAAATCAAATGGCGTTTACTGATATAATAATGAACCACACTGAGCTTTAGCAGAAGCTGGAAAAACTGCTGCAGCTGCTGGGGTTGGCCTCTGAGTCCAGCTGCCCAGAGTTGAGCTGCTGGAGCAAGGAGAAATAAAGGGCAGGGTTGGGTCCAGAAGAATGGAAGGACTGCTGGTGAAAAGCAGTTCCAGACAAGCTCAAGTAGATTATAGCAACAGCCAGAACCAAGTAGAGCTGAAGCCCCTGGGACGGTTGATAGTTCTCTGCCTTGAGGCACCTATCAGGTTATCAGATGACAAATTAGTGGGGCCTGTCACCAATCCAGTGTTACGTGTCCACTATTTTATGTGGTTCAAATAAGGGAGTTACACACTTTCCTTGATCTGGTATATCCAATAAGTTCTTTAAAAAAAAGTATGAGGTATATGTGTGAGTATACATGCCATGGTACCTGTGTGAAGGTCAGAGGACAACTTTGTAAGAGTCAGTTTTTTCCTTCCCACTTTACAGAGGTTCCAGGGGTTGAACTCAGGTCTCCAGGCTTTTACCCACTGAGCCATCTCAGTGACCCCTGATAAGTTCTCAGACCTGGTTTTTTCTGACATTTTAATATGTTCATGTGCTCTTATAGAACCAGTCCATCCCCAATAAATGTATATGGTGGCAGCCTTTCTGCTCCCAGGAATAAATCTTTTTTCTTTTTTTTTTTTTTTTTTTTTTTTTTTTGTTTTTTAGTTTTTAAATTTTTAAAAATTTTTATGTGTATATGTATTTCCTGCATGCATGAGTGCATGGCCATAAGAAGAGAGCAGATCCCCTGGAGCTGGAGTTGTAGATGGTTGTTAGTTGCCATGTAGATGCTGGGAACAGAACCTGGGTCCCCTGCAAGAGCAGCTAGTGCTGTTAACTGCTGAGCCATCTCTCTAGCCCATATAGGAATAAGTCTTTTATAGTCTGCCTTATGGGTAGTGCTAGACAGATAGTGCTGATCATATATCCACCAGGTGCAGAATCATCTTCCATTCTCAAAATGAAGTGAAAGGCTGCTTCAAAAGTGGGAGTCTCAGGACTGGAAAGATGGCAGGCCAGTGGATCTCTGTGACCTTGAAGCCATCCTGGTTTACATAGCAAGTTCCAGACCAGCTGGGGCTATGGAGAGACCCTGTCTCAAAAGGAAAAAAAGAAAAAAAAAAAAAAAAAAAAAAAGAAAAAGAAAAAGAAAGAAAACACTATAAAGAGATGAAGAAACAGGGCATGATGGACTGGGGAAAAAATTATAAAAGTCGTATTTGAAAAAGGTCTTAAAACGTAATAGTAAGAGCATAAGCAAATTAAAAAATAGACAAAAGCTGGGTGGGGGGGGCGCAAAAAAAAAAAAGAAAAATAGACAAAAGATCTGAACAGACTCCTCCCCAAAGAAGATAATACACATTACCAGTAAACACACATAAACACATGATACCATGTCATTAGATAATTGCAAATTCAAACAGATACCACTACACAGCATTATAATGATAAAAATCCAAAACATTAACAATACTAGATGCTGGTGAGGATATGGAAAAATAGAAACTCGTTGCTAATAGGAATGCAAAATGGTACTGCCAATTTGAAAGATACTCTGGTAGTTTCTTAGAAAGCTAAACAATCTTGCCATGCCATCTAAAAGTAATATTGCTTGATATTTACCCCAAATTAGTTTTGTGTTTTTTTTGTTGTTGTTTTTCTTTTTTTGGTCTTTTTGAGACAGGGTCTTCCTGTAGCCCCAGCTGTCCTGGAACTCACTATGTAGACCAGGCTGGCCTTGAACTTACAGAGATCCGCCTGCCTCTGCCTCCCTCCAGAGTGCTGGGATTAAAGGCATGCACCACCATGCCCCGCTAGTTTAAATTTTATATCCACACGAAACCTATGCATAAATTTTTATAGCAGCTTTATTCAGTTGATAGAACTTGGACCAAGTTGTCAGTAGGTAAATGGATAAATGCTAGTGCAGTCATAAAATGGGATATTACTTAGTGATAAAAGGAGCTTTCAAACTGCAAAATGATATGAGGAAACCTTATTGCTAAGTGATTCTAATTACTGCAGTTTTCTGGGAAAGACTAGAGATAGAAAAAAAAAAATCAGCAGATAGGGATTGGGAGAAAAGGAAGAAATAGATGAAATGTTTGGTAGTTTTAGAGCAATAAAACTATTCTGTTTGGCACTGTAATGGTAAATATCAAGATTATATGTTTGTCAAAACCCATAGATCTTTATAGCACAAAGAATGAGCCCTGGTGGGAACTGTGATTTTAAATGTATGCCAATATTTGTTCATCTGTTAGAATAAATATACCACAGTAATGTACAATGATAATACGGGGAAACTAGGAAGTCTAGAGTATGTGGAAGCTGCTTGTTTGCCTTTTCTGTAAATATAAGATTGCTCTAAGAAATAGTTACCATAAAAAGAAATTTTTTTACATTTATTTGTTTAGTGTGCATTTATGTGTTTGTGTACATGTGTATACATGTATGTATGCAGTTCAGAGGACAACTTATGGAAGTCGGTTCTCTCCTTTCACCCCGTGAGTCCTAGGGATTGAACTCAAGTCCTCAGGTTTGGTGGCAAGCATCTTTACCCACTGTCCTAGTTTGGTTTCTGTTATGATAAAACACTGACCAAAAGCAGCTTGGGGAGGAAAGAGTTTATTTTGCTTACAGCTCATAGTCTCTTATCAAGAAAAGCCAAGGCGGGAACCTGGAGTACAGATCATAGAGGAATGCTTCTTACTGGCTCACTTCCCCTGGCTTGTACATCTTATACAGCCCAGGCCCATCTACCCAAGGATGGCACCAGCCACAGTGGCTGGGCACTCTTGAAACAATTAGCAATCAAGAAGATGCCCCACAGGCCAGTCTGATGGAGGGAATTCCTCTGTTGAGGTTCCCTCTTCCCAGGTGATTATAGTGTGTGTTAAGTTGACAAAAAAACTAGCACACCAAATGACCTATCTCACAGGTGTGAAATAATTTTGGGATTTGTGTTTGTTTGGGGTAATTATAAACATATAACTCAGCTAGTAGGACCAAAAATGTGGGTATACTAGAGGGGCCTAGGAGCTCTGAGCACCCCGTATCAGTCATGTGTTTCACAGAAGCAGCAGCAACCTTTAGCTGATCTAGCACCTAGAAGTCAATTGGAAAGTTTTCACTGTGATAACAGAAACTGTAGTATGTGTGAAACTGCCCAGGACAGTGGTATGTTGTGAGCAAAGATGTGGAAAAAGGATGAAATAATAGAGGATAGGAACCATGAAAAAATAGCATGAGAAGTGGCCAGAGTGCAAGAAGCCAAGGGAAAAAAAGGTTTCAAAGAAGAGGTAGCGACAGCAATGTCATACTTCTTAGAGATAAGATGGAATTGATTCAGTCAATAACTACTTAATAGTTAGCTACTTTGTATAGACCTGAAGTCTTATTTCTGTCTTAGTGGGAATGTAGAGGTTAGTACAAATTGGCAAATTTTTGTGTTCATGAATTATAATCTAGTACAGAAGGCAAATAGAAAATATCATGTAGCTGGAAGTCTAACTTAGTCATTGGGTCTTAATATCATTTCTGAAAGAAAAATGATAATTTAAGCTTGTATTTGAATACCAAAAATAAGTTACTGAAGTGAGACCTAAGAAAGAACACATACCACAGATGGTGGCCTGTGGTGGTTGTCAGGAGTCAGAATAGGCTGCCTGCCTTGCCATACTCTCCATGTATTAAGCTTTTTTTTTTTTTTTTTTTTTGGTCTTTTTGAGACAGGGTCTCCCTGTAGCCCCAGCTGTCCTAGAACTCACTGTTTAGACCAGCCTGGCCTTGAACTCGCCGGACTCACAGGGATCCCCTTGCCTCTGCCTCCCAAGTGCTGAGATTTAAGGCATGTTCCACCATGCCCAGCTGATCAAGCATTTCAAGCTTGAGTTCTCCTGCAGATGTCATCAGCTTTAACACCTCATTTTATATCCTCTCCTCAGGTATAGTTGTCGAGGATTGTTTGATTTTGCTCCAAAACTTGTTAAAAAACAACAATTCCAACCAAAATTTTTTTAAAGAAGGTTCATATATTCAGCGTATGAAACCTTGGTTTGAAGTTGGAGATGAAAATTCTGGTTGGTCTGCACAGAAAGTGACAAATCTACATTTAATGCTACAGGTATGTGGTCCTCCTTAGACATCAGTGTGATTAGAATTTTGACAATGATTCTTTCCAAGAAAAGAAAATTTCTTGCATTTGATAATTCCAGGATATTTAGTTGGTTTCAGAGGATATTTTAAAACCTTGTTTTAAAACCTTGTTTCTTTGAGACAGGGTCTCCTTGTAGCTCTAGCTGACCTGGAACTCACTATGTAGACCAGGCTGTCCTTGATCTCACAGAGATTTGCCTGTGCTCGTAGTAAAAGTGTACATCACTACACTGGGCTAAAACTTCTTTTTTTAAGACTTATTATTTTTATTTTCAAAAAAATTCATTATATACATTGTGTACAATACTGTAGTACATAAGGGCATTTTAATTATTAAAATTATTTGTGTGTCTGCATGTGCTTGAGTGTGCATACTTCTGGCCTTCCCGTTCCACCATGTACAGTAATTTTAAGTTTCATCGAGTCAAGTTGTCAGACTTTGCATTAAGTGCCTTTACCCACTAAGGCATCTTGCCAGCTCACATAAGAACATTTTCATACAAGTACCTAATATATATGAGTATGTGTTCTATATTCCCCTACTCCGTCCTCTTCCCCTTCTCCCCTGCCATTAATCCCCTTTGTTCTACACAGTTTCACATCTACTTCCATGTCATACGTACATTCATGGTTCTGTGTAGCTGTATAAAACTTAGGAACCACAAAGGAGAAAGAGTATAGGAAGTTTGTGACTGGCTTAGTTCACACAGTATGATTATCTCTAGTTGCATCCACTTTCCTGCGAACAGTGAAACTGCATTCTCCAGCCCTCTAAAACTTTGTTCTTTATAGCTAAAAGAAATTACATTTTGTATATATACCACACTTTTTATCCATTTTTGTGTTGTTGGACAAGTACATATGAATAGTGCTGCAGTAAATATTGATGTGCAAGTATCTGATGGGTTGACTTGGAGTCCTTTGGGTAAATATCCAAGAGTGACAATAGCCTGATCATATGGTAGATCTATTTCTTGTTTTCTGAGAAATGTCCATATTGATTTCCATGGTGAGCAGAATAATGTGTAGTCCCATAAAAAGCCTTTTAATATGGAAAATTGCCATTTTCAAAGATAGGGCTCTCCTACCTACCCATAATCAACTTCAGTAATTGTCCTAATTTGCTTCTCTTTTGCTGAGATAAAACACTGACCAAAAACAGCTTGGAGGGAGAATATAAGGGTTTATTTGGCTTTACAGCTCATAATCCATCATTAAGGAAACCAAAGGCAGAAACTGACACAGACACCAAAGAGCAACACTGCTTACTGACTTGTTTCCCCTGCTTGCTTGGCTGTCTTATACAGCCGAGGCCCACCTGCCCAGAGATGACACCACCCACAGTGGGTTGGGTCCTACTGTATCAATTAGCAGTTAGGAATTGCCTCACAAATATGACCACAGGCCAGTCTGATGAAGGGAATTGCTCAATTAAAGTTCCTTCTTCCCAAATGTCTTTAGTTTTTGTATCATGGTGACAAAAATTAACCAGCACAATAACTTAATAATATCTAACAGCTTTGTTCCATTTTTTTATTCCTTTCTCTTGCCTTGTTATATTATTTTAATGTAAATCCAGGCATTCAGTATCCTGATTGGTTTACAGTAGAGAATTATAAGTTAAAACTTTTTTGTTTTGTTTTGGGTCTTTTTGAGACAGGGTCTCCCCTGGCCCTGAAGCGCCAGCTAGCCTGGAACTGGCTAGGTAGACCAGGCTGGCCTCGAACTCACAGAGATCTTTCTGCCTCTGCCACCTAAGTGCTGGGACTAAAGGCATGTGCTGGGGCTGGAGAGATGGCTCAGCAATTAAGAACACTGACTGTTTTGCAGAAGACCTGGGTTCGAATCCCAGCACCTACATAGCAGTTAACAACTCTCTGTAACTCCAGTTTCAGGGTATCTGACAGCCTATTCTGTCCTCCGCAGCCATTGCACGACACGGGTGCACTTACTTACATGGAGGCATAATACTCATACACATAAAATAAAAATAATAAATAAAATATTGTAAAGGCATGTGCCACCATGCCCAGCATAAGTTCAGTTTTTTAAAATTTTATTTTATTTTCATTTTATGTGTATGAGTATATTTCCTGCATGTGTGTAAGTACACACATGTCATGAAGTGCCTTTGGAGATCAGAAGAAGGCATTAGATTCCCTGGAATTGGAGTTACAGATGGTTATTAGCCACCATGTGGGTTCTGGGAATTGAACCCCGGTCCTCTGCAAGAGCAGTAAGTGCTCTTAACCACTGAGATATCCCTCCAGCCCCATAAGTTCTTTTGTCTTTTTTAGTCATTTTGAGACAGAGTCTCCCTGTAGCCCCTGCTGGCCTGGAACTCACTATGTAGACCAGGCTGGCCTGGAACTCACAAAGATCTGCCTGCCTCTGCCTCCCGAGTGCTGGGACTAAAGGAGTGTGCCACCACACCTGCGAGTTCAATTTTTAAACTTGTATTTTTAGTATTTTTTTTCTATAAGGAGAACTGTAATATTATATAGTACTCAAAATACTAAGTTCAAATAAATTCAACCAATAAATACTTATTAAGAGCCAAGTACTGAATGCTAAGAAATGGATGATATTGTCCCTGCCCCTGACTAATACTCTAAATTTTAAGACTAGTACAAATTAAACTGACAGGGCAGGAGAGATGGCTCAGTGGTTAAGAGAAGAGCACTGAGTGCTCTTGCAGAGGAACCAGCACCCACATGGCAGCTAACAACTGTCCATAACTCCAGTTTCAGGGGATTCAATGCCCTCTTCTGACCTCCACAGGCATTGCACAGGTACACAGGTGTATTTACACACATGCACACATGCTCATACACATAAAATTAAAACTAATAAGTAAAATATTTTTAAAAAGTTAAATTGACAAATCACTTATTTCTTTTTTTTGTCTTTTTGAGACAGAGTCTCCCTGTAGCTCCAGCTGGCCTAGAACTCACTATGTAGACCAGGCTGACCTTGAACTCACAGAGATCCACCTGCCTCTACCTCCCAAATGCTGGGATTAAAGGCATGCACCACCATGCCTGGCTTATTTATTTATTGGTTTTTTAATTTTATGTGTATGAGTGTTATGTCTACAATGTATGTAAGTGCATGCAGTACCCTCAGGGACAGAAGAGGGCATTGGATCCCCTGAATAGATGGTTGTTAGCCACCATGTGGGTGCTGGAATTCAAGTCCTGGTCTTTCACAAGAGCAGCCAATGCTCTTAACTCCTGAGCAATCTCTTCAGCTCTGACAAATCAATTGTAATTTTAAACTTTTTAACCTATTATATGTTTTTACTCCTTTATTGAGTTACAGTCTCCAAATTCTTAAGCTTATAACTATACATTTAATTTATAAACTCCACTGATTCCTGTGGGTGTTGGAATGTCTGGGTTGTGCTTGCATCTCTGAAGTTACAGGCTTCAGAAGTAGCTGGTTAGCCTCTCCAGTAATGAGTCTCCTGACCCATACCCTGAGAAATGCCTTCATGTGGTCACTTGGTAGTTAGTGTGGCTGTATACCCCAGTTTGCCAGGACAGGATTCATTTTGTAATTCTAACAGTAAACAGTACCCTCTTTCATTTCAAAAGTGTCCTGGTTTGGATTATAAATTATGTCATTACCATATTCAGAACATGCCTAAAATTTTTTTAAATATTTTTATTTAATATTTTTTTAATATTTTTATTGTATGTGTATGAGTATATTGCATATATATATATAAGTGCACCCATATATATGCACCCATGTTGTGCAATGCCCACAGAGATCAGAAGAGAGCATCATATTCTCCTGGAACTGGAATTATGGACAGTTGTCAACTGCCATGTGGGTGCTGGAGTCAAATCTAGGTCCTCTGCAAAAGCAGTCAGTGTTCTTAACTGCTGAGCCATCTCCCCAGCCCTCTAAAAACTTTTATGAAAGTAATTTACCTGAAAACATGGTCAGATTTAGTTCTGTTTACACTACCAACTTTAGTATTCCTGCTTCACATCAGAATTCTGAATTTCAAGAATTGATTAGGGGATGCACAGGCATGAAGACCTGTGTTTGGATCCCCATCACCCACATAAAAGCTGGGCATGGGAGCACACACTTGTAACCCCAACACTTCAGGGCAAAGACAGGCAGATCTCTGGAGCTCACTGGTTAGCTGTTTTAGTTAAACTGCATGCTCCAGTTTCAGTTAGAGACCCTGTCTCAAAAACTAATATGGAGAAAAATAGAAGTCACTCAGTGTCAACTTCTGACCTCCATATATGCATGCATGGGCACATGTACCCACATCCATATGCATACACCATGTGCACACACAAAAGAGAGAAGGAAAGAGGGGAGGAATAGGTTCCCAAACAGTGTTAATAGCTAAGCAATAATAATTTTCAAAATGTGATTAGAGAGCTGAAGGTTGTAGCTCAGTGGTAGAATGCTTCTCTAGCATATGCAAGGCCTGAGTTCGAGCCTCAGCAGCCAAAACTAACAAATGTTAAGTAGAGTGAAGGGATCTGATGATACAAAGTATATGATTATGCATATTTCCTGCCAAACTGATAATTCATATTTTCAGTGCTCCTGATTTATGGTTTAGGGCACCACCTGTGTAAAGAATTATTTTGAGCACAGGCTTTTAATCCCAGCATTCAGGAGGCAGAGGCAGACAGATCTCTGAGTTCAAGGCCAGCCTGGTCTACATAGTGAGTTTCAGGCCACCTGGGACTACATGAAGACTTTTCTCAATCCCCCCCCCCCAAAAAAAAAGAATTATTTTGAAAGCTGGATGTAGTGACACACAGATTTAATCCCTGCACCAAGGAGGCAGAGGCCAGCAAATTTCTGTGAGTTCAGTGCCAGTGTAGTCTACACAGTGAGTTCTAGGCTAGCAAAAACTACACAGTAAGACCTTTTATTTAAAATATTTTTATTATTTTTATTTTATTTTATGTGTATGAGTGTATTGCCTGCATGAATGACTGATGGAGGTCAGAATTGGGCATAAGATTCCCTGGAACTGCAGTTGCAGGTTGTTAGCTGCCATGTGAGTGATAGGGACTGAACCTGGGTCCCCTGCAGGAGCAGCCAGTGCTCTTAACCGATGAGCTATCTCTCTAGTCCCAATAAAAAGATGGTTATTTTAAGTGTCTGGAGAGATGGCTCAGAGGCTTGGAGACCCAGAGTTTTGTTTCCAGCACCCATGACAGGCAGCTCACAACCACCTGTAACTACCGCTCCAGCCCTCTTCTGGCTTCCAAGAGTATCCTTACACAATTGGTATATGCTCAGACACACACACACACACACACACACACACACACACACACACACACAGACATTTAACTACATTTAAAATACAGATAAGAGCATTTACTGCCCTTCCACAGAACCCTGGTTCAGTTCCCAATATCCACATGGTGTGTAATACCCATCCTTGACTCCAGTTCCTAAGGATCCAACACTGTCTTCTGGCCTCCACTGGCATTAGTCACACACATAGTACAATTACATACATGGAGGCAAAACATTCATCTATGTAAAATTGTTTTAAAAATAAATGGGGTCAAGCCTACTGGCACACTTTTAATCACAGCACTCAAGAGGCAGAGGAAGGCAGATCTCTGTGAGAATTCTAGCTGGGGTTACAGGGAGACCTGTCTCAAAAATTTAAAAAAAAATTGAAATAAATAAATAATTTTAAAAAATGGGGCTGGAGAGATGGCCCAGTGGTTAAGAGCACTGGCTATTCTTGCAGAGGACCAAGCATCAGTTCCTAGCACACCCAGATGGCAACTAACAACTGTCAGTAATTCCAGTTCCAGGGAGTCTGATGCTCTCTTCTGGCCTCTGTAGGCATTGCATGCACATGGTGTACCTACATACACGAAGGCAAAACACTCATACACATAAAATAAAAATAAGTAAGTTTTTAGAAAATAATAAAAAATGTATCTCTTAAAATTTTTTAAAGAAAAAATTATTTTCAAGAAAGTGTCACTGTTTAAAAGTACTGTTTTATAAGAAATGAATATAGTGCATCATGGAAACAAAAATTCAGTGGTATATAAGTTGGTTTAAGTATTTTTTTTACTTTAAAAAAGAGAATACCAGCCGGGCGTGGTGGCACACGCCTTTAATCCCAGCACTTGGGAGGCAGAGGCAGGTGGATCTCTGTGAGTTCAAGGCCAGCCTGGTCTACATAGTGAGTTCCAGGACAGCTGGGGCTACAGGGAGACCCTGTCTCAAAAAGACAAAAAAAAAAAAAAAAGTGAATACCAGGGCTGGAGAGATGGTTCAGTGGTTTAGAACACTTGCTGTTCTTCCAGGGACTCAATTCAATTTCCAGCACCCACATGGCAGCTAACAACTGTCCTGTAACTCCAGTTCCTGGGAATTCAAGACCCTCTTCTGGCCTCTTCAGGGCAATGCATGCATGTTGTTCACTTATATACATGCAGACAAACACCCATGCACATAAATTAAAAATAATAAGTAAAATATTTTTTAAAGTGAATACCTTGCCTAGCTTACAGAAAATTTTCTCTCTTATACTAGTGTACCATAAACTGCAAAGCAAAGGAACTGAGATGAATTCGTTTTAATATTTTTTCCACTTCAGAGATTGAGTAGCTGATGCAATCATGGTGTCAAAGGCCCCAGATTATCTTGTAAAAGCATCAGTCAGGCAGATCTCTGTGAGATGGAGGTCAGCCTTGTCTACATAGCCAGCATGGTCTACATAGTGAGTTCCAGGCCAGGTGGGGGCTACAGGAAGACCCTGTCTGAAAAAGACAAAAAAAAAAAAAATTTTTTTTAAACTATAAAGAGATACTCTGCTGATGTATATGTATTGATCTTTTTGAGACAGTGGTCTCCTGTATTCCCAACTGGCCTGGAACTTACTATATAGACCAGGCTGGCCTTGAACTCATAGAGATCCACCTGCCTTTACCTCCCAAGTGCTGGGACTAAAGGCATGCACCGCCACAACCAGCTTTCTTTTTTTATTTTATTTTTAATTTTTATTGAATTTTTGTATATTTCACACAAAGTATCTTAATCATCTTTATACCCCCTTCCCTACTAGCCCCCTTCCGTGCCCCCCCACTAGAATTCATACATTCTGTCATTTGTGTTAAGGCCTATCATGTCAAGTTAGTGTCCCTAGATGTCCCTCAGTGCAAGTTCATCCACTGAGGTCTAGTCAGCCTATCTAGAGTCCCTCCTCTTTTTTATTTAAAAAAAATTTTTTTTTGTTATGTGTGTGTTTTCCCTTCATGTATGTATGTATGTATGTGCACCATATGCATGCAGTAACCATGGACCAGGCCAGAGGAGGGTGTCAGAACTCCTGGAACTGGAGTTACAGACTGTTGTTAGCCATTGTGTAGGTGCTGGGAACTAATCTGAGTCCTCTGCAAGAACAGCCAGTGCTCTTAACTGCTGAGCCATCTCTCCAACCCCCTATTCATTTTGTTTTGTTTGTTTTGTTTTATTTTGTATTCTGTTTTGGAGACAGGGTCTCTCCCTGTAGTCATAGCTGGCCTAGAATTTGCTATTTAGTCCAGGCTGGCCTCTGTCTCACAGAGATCATCTGTCTCTGCCTCCCAAGTTCTGGGATTAAAGGTGTGTGCCACCATGCGCAGCACCAGTTCTCTTTCTTTATAGTTTTATTTCACTTTGCTTATTTTTCAAGTTCTCTGTTATACTCCAAATGAAAAATGTATCATCATTTCTCTGTTTGGACAGGTGCATCCTAATAAAATTATTTGTCATCATAGTTATTATCATGATTGAATTCTAAGCCAACCCCTGCATGCCTAGTGCATGACTCTTCTGTCATGTCTCCAACTGTTTGTTTTAGCCCCTCTTTATTTCTAGTATTAGGGGATTTATTATAACTCGGACCATTCTATTTTCAGGCCTACTATATTTTTAGGTAGTGTATGCTCGCTTTGGTAAAAAATCTGCCACTCTGTACCTTAATTTCAGTGTTTATTCAATATATATTATTTTGTAAATACTGTGCTTATGATTTGGAGATACAAAAATGACCAGGGCAGTTGCTACTACTATCTGGAAGTTAAATCACCTAAAGGAGACAACCGTAAACAAATTACATAAGGTATTATGTACTAACACTGTTGCCATGAAAGCAAGAAGGAAACAGCATCTAGATCTGGCTGAATAGTTAAGGGAATGCTCCATACAATTGCTCTAGGTCACATGATCAGCTTTGTCTTGAGCCTTTACATATCTTTTTTGATGCAGTTTGATATAGCCTGGCTAACCGTGAACTCCTGATTCTCCTGCCTTCACCTCCTAAGTACTAAGATTATGAGTATGCACCACCATGCCCAGCTACACATCTACAAAAGACAAATTTTACTCTCTCTGACAGCTTGTTCGGGTATTGGTATCTCCCACCAACCCTCCTGGTGCTACCAGTAGCTGCCAGAAGGCTATGTTCCAGTGTGGGTTACTGCAGCAACTTTGCACTATCCTAATGGCAACTGGAATTCCTGCTGATATCCTGACTGAGGTAAATGAAACAAAGCCACTCTGTAGAAGTTGAAACCCGGAATCCTAAATCCTAGCATATTAATTACTTTTCTGATGCTGTACTAAAACATTAACCAAAACCAACTTGGAGGAGAAATGGGTTTATTTCATCTTAAAACTCCCAGGTTACACTCAATCACTGAAGGAAGTCAGGGCAGGAACTGAAGCAAAGACCATAGAGGAATGCTGCTTCCTGGCTTGTTTCCCTTGGCTTGCTCAGCTATTTTTCTTACACAGCCCAGGCCTAGGGATGGCACAACCCACAGTGGCCTGGGCCCACCTACATCAATTAGCAATTAAGAAAGTGCCTCATAGATATGGCCATAGGCCAATCAGATGGAAGAAATTCCTCTATTGAGGGTCATTCTTCACAGGTGTGTCAAGTTAACAACTGACGCTAACTAACCAGCAAACCTAAGAAGAACTAGACATTAGCTGAAGGCAAAATACTAACAGCCAAGTATTTTTAAATTAGATTCCTCTTTGATCTTATTAAAAGATAATGACAGTATTAGTTCAAAAGGCATATATGTCCTTCAAATTTTATAATGTAGAATATTAAAATTCAGCTGACTCATCTAAAAACATCTCTCATTAATTTTATTGTACATATTCAACAGGAATTCTATTAGTTATTTTCTTGTTGCTTTGGTAGAATACCATGGCCAGGGCCATGCCTTTTACTTCAGTGCTCCAGAGTTAGACGCAGCTGAATCTCTGGGCATTCAAGGCCAACTTGATCTACAAAAAGAAGTTCCAGCCTAGTCATAGCTACACAGTGAGACCCTGTCTATAGGTAAATAAATATGTAAATAATCATGACCAAAGGCAATAAGGAAGAAAGTTTATTTGAGCTTACATTTTGGGGTTAGAGTCCATGACAGTGGAAGAGCCATGGCAGCAGGAGTGGAAAGGTGGCTGGTTACGTTTCCATCCACAGGCAGGGAGCAAAGAGGGAACTGGAAATGTGGCAAGGCTATAAACTCTCAAAATGCGTGGCGCACGCCTTTAATCCCAGCACTCGGGAGGCAGAGGCAGTCGGATCTTTGTGAGTTCAAGGCCAGCCTGGTCTACATAGTGAGTTCCAGGACAGCTGGGGCTACAGGGAGACCCTGTCTCAAAAAGACCAAAAAAAAAAAAAAAAAATGCACCCCCCCAGTGATTTCCTCCAATAAGGCTCCACCACCTGAAGGTTCCCCCCAACCATGCTGCCAACTGGAGACCAAGTGTTCAAATACATGAGCCCAGGAAAGACTTTTTCTTTTTAGTGTTTTTGAGACAGGGTCTCCCTGTAGCCCCAGCTGGCCTGGAACTCAGAAATCCTGCTCTGCTTCCCTAGTGCTGGAATTAAAGGCATGCGCCATTTTCTTCTTTTGAAAACAGATTTTCTCCTTGACTTACGTTCTATAACTGTTCCTTTGTTTTTCTTATCAGACCATAAATACTGTATCAGAAGTCATTCGAGGCTGCCAAGTAAACCAGGACTATTTTGCTTCTGTAAATGCACCTTCCAACCCCCCACGGTAGGAAGTAGGAGCTATTGGGATTCCTCTGTAGAAGTGAAACTGTAGTTTGGGTTGTTAGTACATCTTTTTACACATCTTACTCTTAACATACACTTGCATGCTTTGAGACCAGAAATTTTCTGCCAGTATAAATATATTGGTATTTTAAAACTGGTTTTTGGAACAGAGATACTTGGTTCAGCTGTCATCTTTTTATTTCACAACTGTGACTTACACAAATCACTTTTCTTAACTACACTTTCCTTTGTGAAATACAGATGAAAATACTTTACTTGCTGGGGTCCTGGTTGTGGTACTTTAGACAACAAAAATGACTGGTAGTTTATGTGTTTGGCTTGTGATGCTTTGCTTCATTCTTTTCTTTTTAAATCCAACAGACCAGCAATTGTAGTGCTTCTCATGTCCATGGTTAATGAAAGGCAGCCATTTGTATTGCGCTGTGCTGTTCTCTACTGTTTCCAGTGTTTCTTATATAAAAACCAAAAAGGACAAGGAGAAATTGTGTCAACACTTCTACCTTCCACTATTGATGGTAAATGATTTCTTCTCATTTCTATTTAGATAAGTAAACGGGGCTGGAGAGATGGCTCAGGGGTTAAGAACACTGGCTGCTCTTACAGAGGACCTGGGCTTGATTCCCAGAACCCACATGATGGCTAACAACTGTCTATAACTCCAGTTGATCCGAAGTCTTCTTTTGACCTCCTCAGGTATTGCATGACATGGGTCACATACAGGCAGGCAACACACTCATACACATGAAATAATAAATGAAATTTTAAAAGAATTTAGAGAATGTATTGCTTTGGAATTGAACCACAGTTTACATTGTAGAATTTCCTTTTTTTTTTTAATACTTTATTATTTTTATTTTACATGTATGAGTGTATTGCCTGCATTTATTTGAGTGTTCCCGTGTCGTGCAGTGCCACAGAGGTCAGAAGAGGGCTTGGGATTCCCCCAGAACTGGAGTCAAGGACAGTTTATAGCCACCATGTGGGTGCTGGGAATTGAACCTGGGTCCTCTGCAAGAGCATTCAATGCTCTTAACCACTGAGCCATCTCTCCAGCCCCTGCATTGTAGAATTTCTATTTCTCTTGCTTTATTAAGGTCGAGAGGATAATGATAATTCATCTCTATGTGGGGATAATATGTCTTTAGAAAAATTGTGAAGATTAATGAGTTATGTGCATAAAGCCATTACCTCAATATTTAGCATATAATTGATGCCAATAAGCAAAAGCTGCTGTTAGTAGTAATTAACACTCTAAAGATAAGTCCTACCATTAAGTCACACTTATATTTTGTTCTATTCTATTATAGATTACAGCTGGTACCCTTCTTATGAATTCTTAAGTATTTAACTTTACTTAAGATGTGTTTAAGTACTTTTATAACTTTTTTTTTTTTTTTTTTTTTTGAGACGATCTCCCTGTAGCCCCAGCTGTCCTGGAACTCACTATGTAGACCAGGCTGGCCTTGAACTCACAGAGATCCGCCTGCCTCCCAAGTGCTGGGACTACAGGCGTGCGCCACCACACCCAGCTTAAAGATTTATTTTCTATAAATGGAAATAAGTGCTAGAGATAGTGATATAATGTAGTATTTCATTAGAATTTGTTTTGGAAATATTTTCAATTAAGGTAAGTTTCTTTTATTTATTTTTAATTTTTTTTTTTTAATTTTATGTGTATGCATGTGTTGCCTGCATGTAGGTCAGCGCACCTCTGTCGTGCAATACCCGTGGAGGTCAGAAGAGGCTGTCAGATCCCCTGGGACTGGAGTTACAGACAGTCGTTAGCTGCCATGTGGGTGCTGGGATTCGAACCCGGGTCTTCTGCAAGAACAACCAGTGCTCTTAACCACTGAGCCATCTCTCCAGCCCATTATTTATTATTTTTATTTTATATGTATGAGTGTATTGTCTACATGTATGTGGATGCACCCATGTTGTGCAATGCCACGGAGGTCAGAAGAGAGCTTCGGATTTCCCTGGAACTGGAGTTAAGGATGGTTCATAGCCATCATATGGGTGCTGGGAATCAAACCCAGGTCCTCTGCAAAAGCAGTCAGTGCTTTTAACCACATCTAATATTTTTGTCTTACAGCAACAGGTAATTCAGTCTCAGCTGGTCAATTATTATGCGGAGGTTTGTTTTCTACTGATTCACTTTCAAACTGGTGTGCTGCTGTGGCTCTTGCCCATGCTTTGCAAGAAAATGCTACTCAGAAAGAACAGTTGCTCAGGGTTCAACTTGCTACGAGTATTGGCAACCCTCCAGTGTCTTTACTGCAACAGTGCACCAACATCCTTTCCCAGGTAAACCATCACTGGAAACTTCTGAGGGGAGTAAGTTTCAGCTGCTTTGATGTCAGTGACACAAGACTTAAGGAGGTCCTTGGAAGATGTAGATGGAAAGGGAAAGAAAGCACTTTTATTACTTGCTACTTCATTGAAACCAGAAACAGTTCTGTGGAAAGGAGTAATGAACATTTTTATAGGAACAGTTTTCCCAATTAATTATAAGGCCTTTATGGTAATGAAAACACATGTTCTGGGCAGAAAGTACATGTGGAGTTTTATTTTCTTTTAAAATTGTCCACCGTGTTCTTCCATGTCCTTTTTCTCTTCTCAGCAACTGAATTCATGTCAGTTGGTGAGAAAAGGTGAAACAAAGCAGCTTGTAGTTGTGGGCCTCCCTCTTTCTCCTCCTGAAGCAGTTGGTCATCCAGGGACAAAATGGAGCTGTAGTCCATTACATATATAACTATATACAGTATATACTTCAGTGTTTATAAGTTCTCAAGTTCCTAATCCATATAATTATCTAGCAAGATAGAGAAAAACATAGCTAGAAATCTGTGCATTCTCTAGACTCTTAATGAGACCACAGAAACTTCTTTGGAGTGTGTCACTCAGGCCCTTAGGAATGTCTCTTGCTACATGATTTGCCCACTTATACTGATGAACAGTTAAAGTTCATACTTTAGCAAAGCTTTAAAGTCGAACCACTCTGGGAAAATTAAGTTATGGATAAGCCTAAAATTGCTCTGTCTGCTTGCTTTAGCAGTGGGATTATCCTACCCACTTCCCTACAGTAGTGTGCTGTATCCTTTAGTTTTTAATTCTGCCACATGTTGCATATTTCTTTCTTTTGAACTTTTTGTTATTGTTGCTGAGCACTGAACTCTTCATGCATGCTAATAAGCACCTTCTACCAGTGAACTATACCCTCAGTCCTCAGGCCTTATTTTGAGCTTTTTTAAAGAAATAACAGCACCATTTACAGAAGTTGTAAATGAAATCTTAAAAAATAACTAATGAGAAGAGAGTGGAATGATGCTTAAGTTGGTCTACTTCTGTTGCCAACTTATCACACATCTCTTAGTGACTGAAAAAAACCACCAAATTTTTCATATTATTTAATCCTTGATGTTGTTGCTGTCTGTTGAAAGCAGCTGTTTTAAAGCCAGTTATGAAAGCTCTGCCCACCATCACTACAGACACACCTTAACCTTGTGATTGTAATGAATGTGTAATAAGATATCCCAAGATGGTAATGTGTCCCCTACTTTAAATAATAATGCCGGGTGTAGTGGCACAGGCCTTTAATCCAAGCGCTTGGGAGGCAGAGGCAGGTGGATTTTTGTGAGTTCGAAACCAGCCTGGTCTACATATTGAGTCCAGGACAGCTGGGGCTACAAGGAGACCCTGTCTCAAAAAGAAAAAAAAAAAAAAAATTAACCTCTATCCAAAATATGTGTCATCTTTATACAATAAAAGATTAGAACTCTCCTTTCAAAAATTAGATTTGCAGAAACTGAAAACATTTGAGAGGTTTTTCTAGATTTAGATTTTTTAAAGCAATGTTTATAAATAATATTTAATGTATAATTTGCAGGGTGATAAGATCGACAGACGGGTATGTATTCTTGATTAAGGCCTTCTCACGAGGCTTCTGTCTTGGTTTGCTGGTTGGTTTTAACAGCTTGTTTGAAGTTCTGTTCTACTCACACTTGGACGTGTTGGCAGGCTTGTCTGTCAGGTGGCTTGCCAGCTTCCTCCAGGGGCTCTTGTACTGGTGCTGCTAAGAACTGTGGGAACGACTCTAAACCTGTGTATGTGGGCTTCCTCCGGGGATGTTTGCACTTTATCATGTTCCTTGGTTTTGGTTCTTTGTTATTTTGTTGTTTTTTCCCAAGCTTGTTTCTTTATTTCCCTTAAAAACAATTCAAAGAAAGTAAAATTTAAGAGTAAGTTTTATCTTTAATCAGTTATAAAGAAAAGTGGGACTTTTCTATTGCAGATTAAAATCTGCAATAATTTTTATAATTGGAGTCATTTAAATGAAGTATAGATTATTATAGATATAATCTGTATGCTACAACTACCGTTAGGTATGGCTTTTGCTGTATTGGGTGAGAGTAATACTTAGGATTGGTTTGGTTTAGTTTTTCTTTTTGACAGTGATTAAAAAAAAAAAAGGGAATGTATGTTAATATCCACGTTTAGACATGTGTTTCAGTTGTATGGTATGGGTAGTAATAAGTGAGATCAGGTTAGGAATTGTATTTTCAGGTGAGTATGATTTAGCCTATAGTTATAACTCAAACATACTTGGCAGCTTCTGCCTGCAGTTTGTTTGTTTGTTTTTCTTTGTGATTCTGGGTATCAAACCCAGGACCTTGTGTATGCTAGGCAAGTGCTTTACTAGTGAGCCACAACCTCCAGCCCCAGAAATTTTGAAATTAGGAAAACTGTTTTCTAAGTATAAATAGACATTTTCAATTGATGGAGTTCTTTTGACCAATTGTAACAAATTATAGAACATTTTTATAAACTGAGAGCTTAATCATTCCTCTTATTAATTCTTTGTTCCTAGAAGCCACTGTTAGAAAATTAATCTGATCATAAGATGCTAGAATCTTTTGTCTTTGTTTTTGTTTTTGAGACAGGGTCTCATGTAGTTCAGGCTAGTCTTGAGCTCATTATTTAGCTGTAGCTGGTCTTGAACTCCTGATCTTCCTGCCTCTACCTCCCCAGTGCTAGGATTATAGGTAGGCCTACTCTGCCCAACTCCTAGAACCTTATGCTTGAACTCTAAAAGAATAAAATATCAGGTTTTTGTTTTTATAGAGTACAGAAATGCTCAGCTTAAAATGAACATAGAAATGAGGATCTTTAATTTAGAAAATGTAGTGGTAAAAGCACAATAGCTAACGATTAGTTGAGTTAGCTTCAAAGTTTTATTTGTGCTGTAGCCAGTGATGCATGCTTGTAATCCCAGCACTTGGGAGGCAGACTCAGGTAGATGGCTATAAGTCTGAGGCCAGCCTGGTATAAATAGTGAGTTCAGACCAGCCAGAGATGCAAATCTAGACTCTTATCTCAAAAAAGAAGGGATTGGGAGATGGCTCAGTGGATAAAGTGCTTGCCACACAAGCATGAGGACCTGAGTTCAGATCCCCAGCACCCATGTGAGAGCTAAGTGTGGCAGTGTGTGCCTACAACCCCAGCACTGAGGGACTGGAGACAGGCAGATTCCAGGACTCACTACTCAGCCTGTCAAGCTGCAATGCTGAACTCAGGTTCAGTGAGAGAATGTGGCTCAGAAAATAGGGTGGATAGAACAATAGAGGAAGACACTCACGTCCTCTGGACTTTGTACACGCATATACCACACTCACACACAAACACATACACTAAAATAAAAATGAATTTATATATGTATATCTCCTTTTTTCTTCCATCCTGTAACGTCTGTGATTTCTGGTAACTAAATCCTCAGAATGCTCTGAAATGATAGTTTCAGCCTCTTTTTGTGTTTCCAAATCTCAGTGGTTCATATTCTGTAGCTTCTGGTGGGGAAGAGTATGTCCTAAATTTTTGTTTTGCTTTGTTTTGTTTGAGACAGGGTCTCCCTGTAGCTGGCCTGGAACTCAGTTTGTTAGCCTTTGTCTCATAGAGAGCCTACCTCTGCCTCTGGAGAACTAGAACTAAAGGCACGTGCCACCACACCCAGCTAACTTTTATCCTAGCATGTCATTTGTCTTTTTTTTTTTTTTTTTTTGGTCTTCTTGAGACGGTCTCCCTGTAGCCCCAGCAGGCCTAGAACTCACTATGTAGACCAGGTTAGCCTGGAACTCACAGCGATCTGCCTGCCTCTGCCTCTTGAGTGCTGGGATTAAAGGCATGCACCACCACACCCGGCCTTCATTTATCTTTTGATCTTGATGTTTTGTTTTGGACTTTTTTAGTCAATCTTTTCGAGCTTCTTCATTTTAAGTCATACTAAGAAAGGCCATCTTGCTTTAATTTGGGGGAAAATAACTTTAGAGAATTTGCTCATAAGTTTATATCGTGTGTGTGTGTGTGTGTGTGTGTGTGTGTGTGTGTTTCACTCTTCTGTTTTTCTTAATGAATAGTATGTGATATGGATCCACTGATCTTTTTAAACTTTTGGTCTTTTTGAGACAGGGTCTCCCTGTAGCCCCAGCTGTCCTGGAGCTCACCATGTAGACCAGGCTGGCCTTAAACTCACAGAGATCCGCCTGCCTCTGCCTCCCAAGTGCTGGGACTAAAAGCCGTGTGCCACCATGCCCAGTGATCTTTTTCTTTAAAAAAAAAAATTGTGTGTGAGTGTGTGTGTGTGCACATATACTTTAGAACGTGCTGTGGAGCATATGGAGGTCAAAGGACAGCATTCAGAAATCAGTTCTGTCCTTGCACCATGAGTTCTGGGGATCAAACTCATTAGGCTTGGGGACAACACTATTACCTGCTGAACCATCTTGCCAGCCCCCACTGGGAGGCTATCTGTTTGCCCCAACATTTTTTAAAGCCCTTTTCTGTAACACATTGATGGTTGCACGGTACCTTTTCACACACTAAAATTGTCATTTGATGAGTCCATTTCATTCTATCTGTTGATTTCTTTCTGTGATAATAGTATCTCATTACTATTTTTCATAGTATCCCTAATTATTTTCACTTGGTTTTTTTTTTTTTTTTCCATATGATCTTAAGAACAGATTAATTCTAAGAAAGAAAAACTCTTTGCTAAGAGAATAGCTCAGCACCTGGGCATGGTGGCACACACCTTTAGTCCCAAAAGAGGGACTAAAGAGAGGCAGAGGCAGGTGGATCTCTGTGAATTCAAGGACAGCCCAGTCTACATAGTGAGTTCCTGGCTAGCTGGGACTACAGAGAGACCCTGTCTGAAACAAAACAAAACAACTCCAGAACTTTTAAGGACTTGGGATGTAGCTGAGTGGTAGAGTATTTGCCTAGCATGCATACGGCCTTGGGTTGCATCCTCAGCAACATAAACACACAAACTTTTAAATAGCTACTAGAATTGTATCAATAGATATTTTCAAGAGTGTATCTGTCCCTCTTTGTTTGCAATAAGAGATAGGAGGTAACTATATGTAGTTCTCTTTTAGGGATGGTAGGTAATAACTGAATCAACTCTGAATTGAATTGAATGAATGTTGATTTCGTTGTAAGTTTTCTACAGCCCATATACTCAGTTGAGAACAAGTATGTTTTTCAGCTTCCCAGTTTATGTCGTAGCATGGAGTTATGGTGTGAGCACAGTAATGATACAAGGCAAGGAAAAGTAATGCATCATGGAAAAACTAACTTGATATTAATGCCCCCTTGACAAATCATTTAAAGAGATCTAGTTTGAACATATTCAATTCAATATTAAATATACCTGAGAATAGATTATAGGTAGACCAAAATGTTCACCTCAAGGATTCTAAAATTAGAATTGTCTTGGTAGATGAAAATTTGAAGAGTGGCCAGTGAGATGACTTGGTGGGTAAAGGTGCTGCCAAGCCTGATGATCAGAGTTTAGTCTCTGTGACCTTCATGATAGAAAAGAGAACAGACTCCTGTAGGTTGTCCTCTGCATTACATACAAGTGCTGTGGCACATGTGTAACCACACACACACACACACATACACACACACACACACACACACACACACACACACTTATAAATAGAAGTAATTTTTTTTAAACTACAAAATTTTGAAAAGCATCGTGATAAGCTACTTTAAATTCATTTCTTGTGGGACTGGAGAGATGGTTCAGTGGTTAAGAGCTCTGACTGCTCAGAACCTGGGTTTAATTCCTAGCACCCACATGCTGGCTAACATCCATCTGTAACTCCAGTTCCAGGGGATCTGATGCCCTCTTCTGACCTCCGTGGGCATTGCATGATACAGGTGCACATATATACATGCAGGCAAGCACTCCCAAAGATAAAAATAACAAATAAAATATTTTTTTAAAAATTCATTTCTTGGGCCAGGCATGGTGGCACACACCTTTAATCCCAGCACTTGGGAGGCAGAGGTAGGCGGATCTTTGTGAGTTTGAGGCCAGCCTCGTCTACATAGCAAGTTCCAGGACAGCTGGGGCTACAGGGAGACCCTGTCTCAAAAAGACAAAAAAAAAAAAAAAAAGAGAGAGAAAAGGGAGGGAGGGAGGGAAAAGAAAGGAAGGAAGGAAAGAAAGAAATACAAATGATAGCCATGTAAGTGTGTAGTGGCAGTGTTACAAATAAGAATGTTCTACATGGAGATGTAAATGTGTTGTATTAAAATTAAAAAAAACTAATTTTGTTGGACACACAATTTTGAATATTAGTTATCTATACTCAGCAGCAGTATAGTTAGTATGTTCAGGGCATTTATCGATAGCTAGTGTAGATCAGTAGATCCTCCCCCCTTCATTATGTTTACAGTTATCTAACATGTTGTTACTAAGTTTGTAGTAGAGTTTTAAATTTTTCTTATTTGAGAATATATTCTCATAGAATTTCACTAAATGATTCAAGAGATTCTTTGGGGTTTGGGAGTTTTGTTGTTATTTTTTGTTTTAGTCATTTTGAGATGGGGTCTCCTAGTAGTCCCAGCTATCCTGAAACTAGCTATGTAGACCAGGCTGGCCTTGAATTCAACAGATACCTGCCTGCCTCTGGCTCCAGAGTCCTGGGATTAAAGGCATGCACCACCATGCCTGGCTTGTTTGTTCGTTTTTATGTTTTGTGAAGAAGGAAGAATTTTTTCCTTTTATCAAGAACTTGTTTTTTAAAATTCTGATTGAATCTGTTTAGCAGTTTCACTTGAACCCACTACTCTCTTGCAGCATGTTTACTTTTTTCTTTCTCTTCTGAATAAAACCTCTTGCTGTTTTGCTAACTTTAAAAATACAAAAGGGTTGTTGTCTGGAACACTTGCTTTTGATAATGTCTTGGAATTGGTAGGTCTTTTAAAGCTTCCACATCATTTTTTTTTTTTTTTGTTTGAAATTTT